GGACGCTGCTACTCCAGAACCCGGTACATGACACTAATTAGTAAAATGCACGTCCTGCACCCTGCCTCTCAGTGCCAAGAGGCCGCAGTCATAGTGACCTCAGTTAATGCCACAGAAAAACTAAGCTCCTCCATTGTGCCTGTCATGGAACCAGCAGCAGAGGGCTCCGGCCTCAGTCACGCCCTCCCTCCACATTTAGCATGGTGTTTCTGATGGTGGATCCTCTATAACAGAAGGAATCCTAATTGCAAGGATGTAGCTTTAAACTTTCCAGCTCTACAGAATAGGAAAGCAAGCTAGAAGGAGATTGGAATGGATGTTGTATACCCATCCTGTGATCTAGCAAAGGCATCATGAAGTAGATGAGTTGTTTTAAATACTGGAGAAGCCTTGATGTCACACAAGCCCAGACCTAAGGGTAAATGTAATTCATACCTTTCAGGGAATAAGTGTGTGCGTGTGCATGTGCATGTGCATGTGCGTGTGCATGTGTGTAGGTATGTACACTAAGGAGGAATCGGAAGGGATGTCTTCCCCTGACAGGCTCCTTGCTTCCATAGGAAAAGCAGACCTGAGACTGGCTCAACTCTGTAAGTCTGTGCTTGGGAGGTGTTAGGAGGGGAAGGGCATACGTTGCCTAATTTTTTGAGTTAGTGTCTGTTCCTTTCTCCTCTTCTCTATGTTGGAGCTATAGCACAGAGCCTGGGCACATTCTGTTTAAAACTTGGCTTTGCTATTTGTTGCCTTTGTGATGTGTCCAAGCAGCAGTATCTCTCATTTTGTCCCCTCTTTAGCTAATCTTAACTTTATCCTTCCCTCATCAAGACCTCTAGATGCATATTTCATGTTTTCTAAAGCACACAGTGCTAAGCATAATATTTTCCCATAGTTTCCTCGCTTCTGGATGTATTGTCATTCAGTTTATATATTTTCTTCTTTTGGAAATGAACTATGTTTCCATAACACATTCTTTTCATTAATTGAGGTATAATTATATTTAATTATTTATTTGTGCTTCTTTATCCAGTTAAGATTTGCTTTAATGCTTTGAAAATCAACTGTTTAATCCTCTCTTAATGTGAGCATGACTTACAAGTTCACTAAAAATTTAAATCATGTCCCATATACTGAAATAGTTTAAAAATATTTTAAAATTAATAATGCTGTTCATGCACTACAGTGAGAAATTATTTTGAAATGTTATTATGTGAATATATAACAGGATATTAAAATGGACTTTTGAAAAGTAAACTTTTTATTTTAGGACAGTTTTAAATTTATGAAAGAATTATGAGGGATTTCCCTGGTGGTCCAGTGGGTAAGACTCCACATGCCCAATGCAGGGGGCCCAGGTTCAATCCCTGGTGGGGGAACTAGATCCCACGTGCGTGCCGCAACTAAGAGCCTGCATGCTGCAACAAAAGATCTTACATGCTGCAACTAAAACATGCCGCAACTATTATGAAGCTAGTACAGAGAGTTTCTGTATATCCTACACTCAGTTTCCCCTATTATTAATGTCTTACATTAGTATGGTACATCATTTGTCACAGTTAATGAACGAACACTGAAACCTTACTATTAACTAAAGTTCATACTTTATTCAGATTTCATCAGTTTTTACCTAGTCCTTTTTCTGTTCCAGAATCCCATCCAGAATACACGTTACATTTGGTCATCATGTCTCCTCTGGCTCCTCTTGGTTGTTTCTCAGGACATCCTTGTTTTTCTTGACCTTAATAGTTTTGAGTATTATTGGTCGCATATTTTGCAGAATGAAATGGACCCTTTCATTTTAAATTTTATTTTAAAACTTTACATAAAATTTTCAAACATACACAAAATTAGAGAATAGTATAATGAACCCCCATGTACCCCTGATGCAGCTTCAATAACTATCTCCAATTTACTAAGCTTGTTCTATCTACACTGTCGTACTCCCAACCCTGAGGGTTTTAAAGCAAGTCCCAAATATAACTTCATAGCATATAACTTCATAGCATAGCACACATATATTTCAGTACATACCTCTAACAGGTAAGGCCATTTTAAAAAATACACCCCCAATGAATAATCACACAACAAATTTAAAGATGATTCTGTAATATTTAATAGTGAACCTGTGGTCAAATTTCCCCAGTGGTCTCACAACTGTCTTGAACTTATAAATTCAAATCAGGATCCAAATGAGGTTTATATTGAATTCTGTTGATTTGAAAAATGGGACTTCTGTCTCAGTTTTAGCTGAGACCTGAGACTCAAAACAAATCTATAGTTATACCCACATTACAATCTGGGATGCTAAACTAGCTATGTTGTCCAAAACGGGTGTTTAAAACTGGTTTTAAAATCCTGAGCCCAACACCCTCCTCAGGCTCAAGAGGATTTCTTTGGGGAAAGTTGAGGGGAGCTGTGGCTTTTCCCTCTTTGCCCCTCTCCCACCATGGGAGAGAGAAACAGGGTGTTTTCCCTTCACTGCATGCCTAGTGAGAGGGTCTTTAAAAGAACCACTTTGGGAGCTTGGCTTTTACTCCTTGAAGCTAGAAGGGACTGGTATTTGACCCAGACCCGCGGCAAGTAAAAAGGACAGGCTGTGGCTGGAGATACCTGAATAAAGTCTACCAAGTGGAGCAGAAAGACGTGGCTGAATTCAGAGCAAACTGTGACTTCTATCAGTGGTAGGGCAGAAATATGAGTCCCCACAATTAGATGTGATGGGAAGGAGGGATCTGGTCTTGTGGTCATTTTAAAAGGAATCCCACCCATGCAGCCTTCTACCTGGGGGCTAGTCTCTCAGAGGAAACAGGTTTTTAATTTCTACCAGCAGTAACACAAAGCCAAAGTTATTGCTCAGGTTTCAAAATTAAAACTTTTCACCTAATTTAATCATGTATGTGAAGAGCTTGCTTACATCTGTTTGCATCAAAAGCCAAATAATGATATACTTATACAGCATTGGTAATTACATGTTTAAATTGGTACAGCCCTTGGAAAAATGATTTGGTAATGTGTATCAGAAACAATACACACTTGTACCCTTTGATTTGGTATTCTAAATTCTACCCTAAATGATTTTTAAATATGGGAAAGAAGCTATATGAAGGAATATTTCCTTCACAATATTTTTTATGGTAGTGAAAAATTAGAGGCGACCTGAATATGTAACAACAGGGACTTATTAGTAGGTAAACTTATGGTTATACCTACTTAATAGAGTATCATGAAATTACTAAAATATTCATTACAAAAAACTATAACATGGAAAAAGAAAGAATAAAAGTTGAATTTATACAACGATATTAACTACTTAAAACATATATATAAGAGAATACACAAAAAAGATAAAAGTTGTGTTAGGGTTATGGATTTTTTTCTTCTATTTTTAAAAATTTCTCTAATTATGCACAAATGTTTTTGTTGTTTAAAATTAGCTGAAGCATTAGCAACAACTGCTTAAAATTTTTAGTCTTAGAATCACATATATTGGCAATTCATGCTGAAATGGTACATAAAAATTTGTTTGCTAATTTCAGCTGTTGGCAGACACAGTCAATTTTTTAGCTAAGCAAATGTCAACTGTTGCCATTGCGCTTCTAAAATTACAATAAAGCTACATAATAACTGGCAGGCGTACTCTTGGGTAAATGTGGAGAAAAATCAAAGATTGATTAAAAAAAGGAAAATGTCAACCTTCCGAGTCAGTGACAAGATCTTTGATAGGCAGGGACAGGACCCAGTTTGAGATCTTACTTCTTGGAAGGCACAGTACTAGTGGGGAAGACAGTAAATAATTAGGATGAAATCTGGTAAGCACTTGCACAGGCAACTGAACAGGATATGGGAAGATCTGGGAACTGGAATAGGTATTCCAGATAAAGTAGATCCAAGAGCAAAGATTTTTTTAAAGTCAGGGTGTGTTCAGAGAGCTGAATAACTCAAAGTGTCTTGACAATAGGTTACCTATAACCTATAGGATGGGTAGAAGCAGGTAATAAGAGGTTAGTGGAGGCTGAAGACCCTCAGTTTTATTTGGAATGCAGTGTAGAGACTTTGAAGTCATTGAAAAGAATGACATAAGATCTATGTTGATTCTAGGGTCTGCATGCAGTGAACTGGAAGTGAGATGAGAGGAAGATGTAAGTTGTGAGGATTCTGCAATAAACCAGGATCTTCATTACATAAAATTACCGGATTAGCGCTTCCAGAATATATTTTACTGTAAATGATTTAACCACATTCCAAGCAAGTTTTAGATGATTTTTGGTGCTAATAGAATTGGCACATAGTATTGAATCAGATTGCAGAGGATTATTTTAATTATATGGCCAGATGCAGAGAAATATGTAAAGATCTCGAAGCCAACAAATATGTTGAGAAAGGCAAATTCTCACAAGTAAAAAGGATGTTGATTTCTAGAAGGCAGCACGTTATCAATAGCTGTATACAGATTCTCTGGAGTTGTGGGTTGCTTTAACACTTCATAACAGCTCACCAGGAAGTAATATTTTCTAAAGTATAAACTGCTTTAACCTTCTAGGCAACTGGAGGCATTGCTGAACAATGATCAAGATAATAAAAAAGCTATACGAGTTCACAGCAGACAAGATTTTTTGTTTCCATTAAAGTTTCTTGTCCCAGAATATATCACAATCCATTTAGAATATGGATTCAGGCCTAAAGCTTTTCTGACTCAATAGAAAAGAGGATGCAGATGTCACCTTAAGAACGGCTCAAAATCGCCTGACAGATTTGGCAGTTACCTAAACGTTTAATAAAAATTTACTCACTAACCAAATACTCTCAGTCACCGAGCTAGCAGGTCTTTCATTTCAAAAGAATCATTTTGGGGGTACCAAACTATTGACATCTGGGCCAAGCCTCCGCTTTTATTTAAATACAAACACTGGCAAAGAAGCGCAGCGGTTCGTTAAATCGCAGGGACTCGTAGCTGGCATCCCTCCCGGGAAGCGAGTCTGGTTCCACCACGGGGGAGGGGCAGGGAAAGGAGACCTCGGGCGCCAGGGACCTAGCGGGCTCTTTCTTCCAGGCGTCCCGGGCTGCCCTCACTACCAGTCCCCGCCGTCTCATTTGCCGCCTTCCGACGCGTGACCCCGGCGCGCTCGCGTCCCGGGCCGGTGACAGGCGCGAGGTGCGCCGAGCGGTCCCATGTGCGCCCTCCCTCTCGCGGCCGCTGCAGTCACCGCGCCCCGAATCCAGCTCCAGCTCCTCTGCCGAGGCCTCGCCGCCGCCATGTCTACCGCCAGGCCACTCAAATCCGTGGACTACGAAGTGTTCGGGAGAGTGCAGGGTAGGGGACCCCCTAACAGTGGGAGATCAAAGAGGTGTTGGGGAGGAAGAGTAGAAAGCTTCGACAAGCACACCCCATCTTAAGGACGCCCTGCCCCGTAGCGGCTAGGACTTCCGCTCGGCCATGACACAGCAGCCATGGGTGGGAAGGAGGCGAAGGGCGCATGCGCAGAAGAGCTGGGGTGGGCGGGATGGGGGCGAGGGAGGAGAGCGGAGCCGGGGAAAGACTGGGAGGAGGAGGAACAGCCGGGCGCAGGGAGTGGGCCACTTAAGGGGGTCCGGGGAGTGCAGACTGAGAGGACAAAATGAAGTGGGGGAAGGAAAGAAGAGAGGGTCTTTGAACTAGTGGTCCCCGTTACTCACCACTGAACTACTGCGCTTGACTTGAGTTTAGGATGGACACCTAAGATGGTGTTTGAGGGTTCTCTTTGTAGGAGATTATACTTTTTTTTTTCCTGTATAGCTCCTGAAAGAATTATTAAGTTGTTATCTAATTTTTGTCTCATTATAAGTTTAAATCGTTGTAGAGGATGTCAGGTCTGGCTTATTGTAACTATCGTTATTTCTAACTTAAAATGTTAAATCACTGAAATTTATCCAGTGGAATATAAATATGGTAGTGATTTACTATTTGCCATCATTCATTCAAAGCAAAGCTTTTTAACAGTGGGAAATTTTGCATCATACCTTTTCCTCTTTGAATTTGATTTCCATTCCATTTTCCCCACAGAATTTTATCCTATTGTTATGCTTGAGCAGTTTCTAATTGGTCACCTACCAAACTTCTCTGCAATATGTATGTGCATATGTATGTGTATATATATACACACATACATATATTTTCTTAATTTCCTTTGACCATAAAGCTCTATTTATTTTTTTTTCTTTTGGCTTGAGTTACTATTGTGACTATTATTAGAATACACTTGATGAAAATAATATAAATACATTTAAAAGTGTGATAACCATTATTAAAATTTAAAAGGTAAATTTGTTTTGGAAATTTATTTCTTACAGGGAAAGCTGGAGGTTTCATGGAACATTGATTAAAGGGTTGAGTTATCTTTGTATTTTGGTATTCTAGAGGTTTTTACACTTTGGGGCAGTGTACCAGGATAAGAAAAAGGATGGGTGAGTGTATGCCTTTTGTAAAGAAATAGCTCTTTCTTTCAAAGGGTAACTGTGGGAAGGGAGGTAGGAAAGGAGAATCATGGCGTATTACAGGTGTCTCCTCAGACAAGTCACTTTTAGGGGAAAAAAAAATATGGAAGTTCTAGATACAGAAATTGATTACTTAAAATTATTCATGCTTTGTACCCTTTAGAATGTCTTCGGTACACCCAGGGGTATGGTATTCTAGATTGAAAGCTACCCCCAAAAGTCATTGAAACATGTATATAAAAATGAAAATGGTGGCAAAGATCATTTGACAAACTATTTGGTCTACTGGACAGAGACGGGAGTAGTTAAGGAGCGTGTGTGTGCACATGTGTGACGTTTACTGAGGGTGTACCATGTGCTGAGCATCCTACTATTATTTACTTAATCTTCATCACAATTTTGTGAGATATATGTCTTAGTACTGTTTTAACAATGATAAAATAGATAGAGTGTCAGTAACTTGGACAAGCCGTTAGTCGACAAATGGGATTTGATCCTGCATCTCTCTAACTCTAAAACCTGCACTTTCCCATTAGATGAGGTTTTCTGATAACACATAATGTATTTCTATTAATTTTAGCTATGTGATTGCACTTTGTCCATATGGTGGTCACATGGTGTATGAAGATCAATTTGGGGCAACAGTATACATAATAGGAAAGAGAAATGTACGCTATATAAACAGTGGGGTTTAAAAATCAACTTTAGGGGAATAACTGTTGTTTACAGTATGTTAAATGGAAGAGAGTACATGCATACTATTGATTTATCAAGGCCTAGTATGTGGGACAAATTCACAATCACATATTTGCACACATATACATCAACATTTGCTGAGAATCTAGGATGTGCCAAACTCTGTACTCATTTAATCGTCAACCCTATGACCTCAACCATTTTCCTCATTTAACAAATGGAGAATTTAAGGCATAGTGAAGTAACTTTCCCGTTACAGAGTGAGTTAAGTGGTGATGCTGGGATTTGAACCTTGACAGTTTTATACCAGGGCCCATGCTTTTAATCAGTATATCCTACTGATCCTCCTCTCAATACCTTTTCCACCTTTATTTTGCCTTCCTCCGAACCTATGAACCGAACACATACATACACTGATGCAGGGCATTTGGACCTGGCCATCTATACACCATTCCAGATGATTCTGAGGATGTTTTTATGGTCTTTTAGGCTCCAAGGAAGTTTGACCTTGTCAGTAGGCAGTTAGCACATTCAAAACTGCAGCCTCTGACTCTCTCTCTGTTGCTTGCTGGCACTATCACCGTTGCAGTATATCAGTCTGCGTCTCTCTGTGTCTCACAGAACTGCTCACAATTTTTTAGTGGATTACCTAAGAAATAAATACAAACCACTAGCTTTTTGTCTGAGTCATAATGATAGTGTAGAAATAATTAACAATAAATGATAAAAAATTTTAATTTTATTTTAATAATGTAAAATGGAGAATGATTAAAGGGATCTTTAAAAGTGTGGAATAATAAAATCTTAGTGAATACTCACTTGTTAGAAATAACGGCTATGAAGGTAAATTTACAATGGAGGAAGCTATAATTAGGAACATTGAATATGGACAAGATATAGATTGATAAATAAAATTGTCATTAAAATATTTAAATGAAAAATATTCTTAATGAAAATTGCTTCAATGATATAAAAATTAATTTGGAAAATGATTTAACTGTCTTGTTCTGATGGAAAATTGATCAGTGAATTGAATTAGCTTGACGGAGCTTATGACAGAAAATATTTTCTAACCAAAATACAGAGTATGCTGTTATATTTGTATTTAGAGTGTTTGAATTTAAATCATCCTTGGTGCCATAATGGTAGTCAAAATGTTCTAGGGGTCAAATATACTCTGCCTTGTTCTCCAATACACACACCCTAATTTGCAAACAGATTGCATTTCAAGAACTAGTTTATAAATTGGTTGTTTGAAATTCAGGAAAATACATTTATAGAAATAATATTACAAATAGTGGATTTATTTCTCGGACCTTTCTGCAAAGTCCACTCATAGAGCTATAGGCTTGTTGACAGAAATAATCAATAAACAATCTATAATTGGAATAGAAAAGAGTTTTATTTCAGCCAAACTGAGGACTGTAGCTGGGGAGACAGTCTCTCAGGTAATTCTGAGGAACTGCTCTGGAGAAGCATGGTTTCCAGCACAGTTTTATATCTTGTCAGAACAAAGAACATCTAACAAATCAGCGATTCATTCCTTCAGGGTTTCAAAAAAACAGATCAGCATGTACACAGGGAGCCAGTATGTCCTTGGCACCTGGGAAGAGAGTCCTATCATCAAAGAAGTACCAGCATTGGCATCCCAGAAAGTGAGGCATTTAATCTTTATTTTTAACATGGACATTCTTTACTTCTGATTAAGGTGCCCTTTTCTTTAACAGTTAAAGCAGATGTACAGTGTTTGATAAGCCACAAACAGGCTGTTTTAGTTAGCATAAAAGTCAAGTTAATTCCTGGATAAGCCAGAATGACTTTCCCATCCCTCAATATGTGAACATTTCTTCCATCAGGCTGCTGCTGCTCTCCATTGCTGCTTCCTTCCCTCTATTTTTTTTAATAATTTTTTTGTTTGTTTTAGTACAGTTTTAGAATTATAGAAAAGTTAGAAAGATACTATAGAGAGTTCCTGTATACTCCACATCCGGTTTCCCCTACTGTAAACATCTTACATTAGTGTGGTACATTTGTCACAACTGGTGAGCCAATATTGATACATTATTTTTAACTAAAGTCTATACTTTATTCAGATTTCCTTAGTTTTTACCTAAAGTCCTCTTCTGTTCAGGATTCGTCTAGGCTATCATATTACATTGAGTCATCTTGTCCCCTTAGGCTCCTTTACACTGTGATAGTTTCTCAAACTTGCCTTGTTTTCCATGACCTTGGCAGTTTGGAGGAGTACTTTGATGCTAGGTACCTTGTAGAATGCTCCCATACTGGTATTTGTCTGGTATTTTTGTTGTAAGACTGAGGTTGTGGGTTATCAGGAAGAAGACCACAGAGGTACAGTGCCATTCCCACCAGCATATCAAGGGTACATGACTTACCACTGTTGAGGTTAACCTTGATCACCTGGCTGAGATAGTGTTTGTCCACTGTTAAGTTACTCTTTTTTTCCGCTCCCTTTCCATCCTCTACTTTATCTCCATATTCTCAAGAAGCTCCATGTTTTTTTTTCCCACCAACTTCTGTTACATTACGGGCTTTGGGATGAGGGATAGGGGAGTAGGGGACTGACCTCCTGGGTTTTTAGAGCATTTGTAACTATGGCATGGCTTATAATGTTCCTATAAATGTTTTTTTTCCCTATAAATGTTTAATTACAATTACATCAAGAATAATCTGAAATTTTGAAAGAGAAATTGATTAAGCTATGTATAGATGCTCTACCAACTCTCAGGTAAATACTGACGACACTTGTAGAAGTGGACTGTGGCAATCTGTTGGTTTACCTGTGCGTTAGAAATTTAACAGTTTGTTTTTGATGGGATTGACTCAGATTTAGAATGGGAGTAACTTATTAGACTACAGAAATAAATAGCGATTTTCTTTAAGATTGCTTAAAATGAAAATTAGGATAATTACTAAATAGCTTTGTCAGACACCACATAATTTAGGTGTATACATTTTTCCTTACATAGACAGGTAAGTGGAAAAGTTATGTTTTAAAGGTTGAAAATTTTAGTACATTAAAGTCAAGAAATACGATTAACTCTAATTCCCTTTCTCATCTTTCTTCCTATAGCATTTCATTTGTAGTTCTGTTCTACTTCTTGTTTTTACTTCTCCAAATCCATC